AGCGACCCAATGCCCTTGTTGCCTCGTGTTGACGATGGATGCTGGCGCAAGGCTCCTTCGTCGAGTCAACTTCCGAACTGGTCCTTGAGTTCCAATATTGTCTCGCCGCATCGCCGTTTGCTGGGAGAGGTCTCGTGCTCCGCTTCTTCCGGAATCGCCAATTCATGGCGAGACCACCCGTTACCCTCTCCTCCTCGCCATCCGTCTTCTTCCTCCGCAACGATCCATGTTCTCGGAGTTGGAACGACTCTAGGACCGCGATTGAATTGCCGGCAGTGGGCGGGACTTGGATTTTTGGTTGAACCATTCCCGCCAGCAGTGTTTCCTCTTTGGTAGATGACGACATAGTGGTGATCTCCGAAAGCTTCGGCTGCTCAATCCCTGCGGCAACTTGATCTTCTTTGGCGGAGCTCTCGGTTGTCAGACCTTCGCCGTCGACCACCGTTGGATTTGGAACTTCTTTCGTGGTTGGTGGCTCCCGGCTTGCTCCTGAGATTGGCGTCATTGTCGGCTGGACTGGAAGCTCCAACCAATCTTCAAAATCCATTTCTGCAGTTGCGGTCTTCGTCAATGGTGCTGCGTCCTTCTTCATCTGCTTCTTTGGCGCGGCGGCTGCGGCTTTGGGTGGAGCCCCAGCCTCCGTGGCACCTTGCTCCACGACCTCCTCTACCGTGGCCTTGGCCTCTCCCGTCGTCTCCACATCCTTATCTCGCCTGGCGCCAGACAGCTCGACCGCCGGCTCTTCGGGCAGCCAACGGCGGCCGATGCGACGGGCTCTGTCCCGCAATTCTGCCCACGACAGGTTCGAGAGCTTTGAAGAGCTCATCGTCGAACCAGTTGTAGAAATCGTCCCCGGTTGAGAGTTGTGGTGAACTCAATTCTCGAACCAGGCTCTGATACCAAATGTTAGAAACAAAGTTTCTAACGGGTTATTGATTGGATGATGTTTGAGAATTTAGGGATTTGGGAAGGTAGAATTAGGGATTTGGAGAAGAATTGGGGAAGAACAGAATTGGGAATTAGGGATTTAGAAGAGGAAATTGGGGATCGAGGAGAAGAATGGCCGTCGGCCTAGGGATAGGTGACGAAATTGAGAGAGATTAGGGTTTGAGAGACTTTTCTGAATAATTGTTCTTGCTTGATTATGAATAAAACGCAAAGTACATATTTATAACGAAAGATAAGAAAACCTAATACTAAACCTAATTCTACTAAAAGACTACTAACCATATTTAATAAAACCTAATAATAATGATAATATAGAAACTCGTTTTCCTTAGAAAACGTGTTTCTAACATCACGTCACGCCAAAACCCTTAGCAAGTATTAGATTGGCTATTCGTCTGCCTATGAAACTAGTTAGCCAGTTGTTCTTACTACGAACTACTAAATTAAGGAAATGATGCCGATAGCAATTGCATATTCCTATAATTGAAATTCGTGTAGTATAAATGAATCGTATCATGTGCTTAAATCGACCGTTAATACGAATTGTTCTAAAGATTGAAACGTGGAATCTCTCAACTACCAAACTGACCAATATCTTGTGGAGAAGCAACAATTCGCTTTCATGACAAAAGTTTGGAACAGGGAAAGGAAAATCGAAAGGGAGCTATAGATAGAGATAGATATGTGGGTGGCTGGCTGGCTCCACGAGAAATGCAGAAAAAGCCACAACTCAATGTGGTTAGGTCACGATGTCTGTTCTCCTTTTGCACACATTACTTTCGTGATTAGCCTTACCTTCCCCTTCTGCGTATATTTTTTCCTTTCTTCTTTTCCTTTTGTCTCTTATTTGCTTTTGCTCGTGAAATATGAGTATTATATATGTGAATAGGTGTAGCAAAAGAAGTGGGTTATTAGTACATTAGAGGAACCTAGGAGTCTAGGAAGATGTTCGATCACTCGCACAGAGTTATGGCCTATGGGCCACCATCTAGATCCAGGGGCTGTAGCTTGCATGGAACTTGGAACACCGAAGAGTTGCAACTGGACTTCAACGCCGTTGTCAACTTACTCTCGTATTCAACACGAACGAATTAGTAGTATGTTACTTGAGTGCTAGTTTTCCCAAAACTACAGAGGAGGAAGCAAAAAAAATAAAAATAAAGAGATTAGCTTTTTAACCGATTGTTTGGCTTATGTTAGTTTTTACAACCCAGACATCGAGTGCTGACTATTGTATAGTTATATTAGCGGTTTTATTACCCGTTGTATTGTTTAATTAGAGGTAGAAATAATTCTCTTCTTTGCACATATATCTTATAAAAAATATGATCCATTTGCTTTGCGCAACCTCAGTCAGCCAGCCACCCACTGCCACTGCAAGCTAGCATGCTCTAAGTCTAACCTAAACGGAACCCAAAACTCAAAAACAAAAACAAAGGAAACTGCTCCCATTGGGTGATGAAACCTACAAATTATTTATAGTTCATTAATTAGGTCAACCATCTGCCACATCTCAACGAACGTTATGCGACATAGACTTGCCGTCGGCCAGAAACTGTAATCATATATGGGTAGTTTACGAGAGAGAGATGCCATTAATTGTGGGCTTAGTTGGTTAATTGGTTTTGTTCTTACTAATCAGTTTCAGCGGGATTAGTTTTGTTTTTGCATCATTGCATGTTGATATATAAAAAGGAGGGGATTGTTTGGAGACTGCGTCATTATTTTGTCTGACATATTCAGGCATTCGATTCTGTAAATAATTATTAGGGTAGGAGTTACGAGGAGAATTTTTTAAAAATAAATATTAATGATGGAGTTACAGACATGAACCCCATTCTAAACTTAACCAACAACATGCACTATTCAAATATATTTATTTTTAAAAAAAAATCACCTGTTGGTCACTGAGTTTACTAAATCGTTTCATGTTTAGTCACTAAAAAAAATCAATATCAATTTTGGTCACTCGAATTACTGAAACAGGTCACATTTAGTCACTCTCCCGTTAGTTTCCGCCCAAATTCATTAATGGAGTTGGACGGAAACTAATGGGAGAGTGACTAAATGTGACCGTTTTCTGTAATTCAAGTGACTAAATGTGACATGTTTCAGTAATTCCAATGACTGGAGTTGGACGGAGGCTAACGAGAGAGTGACCAAATGTGACTTGTTTCAGTAATTCGAGTGACCAAAATTGAAATTAAATTTTTATAGTGACTAAACATGACACAATTTAGTAATCTCAATGACCAAATGTGGCATTTACCCTATATTTGTTTGATTGATCAAAGCTGAAGGCACAACTATTTCACAGTGAAATCACCTGTTGACACTATCTAACCAGTTGTTACCTCTTTTGTTACCACTTGTATGAAAAAAGAGCAGTTCTTAATCACTAACTGATGTTTAAAGTACAAACTTTAATTATAATAATATATACGGCTAATTTGATGTTAAAGTCTAAATATTAAAGCCACGTCAACTTTAGTTCTTAAAAGGATTTAATTAGACTTAGATCGCCGTCTATTGCCAAACCATAACTAAAATCACGATTGAACTTCATTGTCGGCCGAATTAATTATAATATTCAACTTAGAAGACAGAAGTTCAATAATCGAATTCTCGAATCTCTTAACTAGTAGTGGAGGAAAGTCGAAACGTCGGCGCATGGAGAAACATGCAATGGCTGCGGTCAATGATATCTAGGGTCTTATCTTATGGGAGGAAAATGAAGACAAAGTAATTAGCTTTGGAATGGGCATGATGAGCGGAGTGATTATCGTGGCACTAAAATTAATCAAATAATCCAGATTTTTGGGGAAAAGACAACAAAACTATTCTTCCTTCATTTCCTCGTTATGCTCCGCTGATATTGTGAGAAGAAGATATATTGAGATACAGAGATAGATATATGTCCAATAATAATGCTGCCTAGATTTTGTTTGATTTCTTCTTCATGTTTATTTTATTACGTATAATGTTGAGTTGACCGCTGCTTTTACAAAAGCAAAACTAAAAATAATTTCTTCATGTGCCTTTTCCTTTTTCGGTTGATCTTGAACAGAATAGCAACATAAGACGAAAAAATATCATTGATTAATAGTAAAATGCCAATTCATCCCAATTAACTGAATTGCTAAGAGAGCTGAATTAAGCGAGTAAACTAAGCGGTGATTTTGAGAGACAACACCCATGATAGAGGCACAAACACAATACTTTATATATGAATTCTTGGTAGTGTGAAATTAAAATTTTAAAAAATGCTATATTTGTTATTAGTGTTAAAGTTTTGACTACACCATGGTTGTCATGCCGGTGGCATGCCACCCGGTTGAACCTGGTTCAACCTGTGCCGGTCATGAAACCGGCATGACACCACCGGTATGACCGGTATGATCGACTTACGCATTCTAAGTAAAATGATATCATTTTAATGAATTTAATGAATAAAAAATTTAATTTATTATTCATTTTATGAATGTAATAGTTAAAAGTTGATGATATTTGTTGGATTGTAACTAAATTGTCCATAAATATGTTTTATATATGCTTAAATACATTGGATATTAGTTGTTTTCACATTTTTTTAAACCGGCATGAACCGGCACAAAATGGTTATACCACCGGTCGTACCATTCCACTTGCCAAACCGGCACAACGGTATAAACCGGTTTGACAACCTTGGACTACACGAATGTACTGGCAAATATGTCGTGGTTAGTAGGTAGGAAAGGTAACACAAAAAATTGTTATATCGGTATGAATCATTAGTCCAATCAGCATAACTAATGGTGTTGACGTGCTTTGATGGAATGGTTACATGTGTCTAACGAGCATTCCAAATCTAGTTGTATTCAAGTTTTTTTGAAAAATTGACTATTACTATCACAAATATCAAAATTATGGGTGTACAATTTGTATTTTTGTCTTTATTTTTATTAAGTAATAACAAAATGGAGTGAACCAAACTCATTTGTTTCCTAAATGTATTTATGGGAAATATTATTTTTTTTTGGTAGAACAACGGGATGCTACGGGCACCCCAACCGTTAACTAACAACCAAACGGGACGTTTCCACCCCAATCAAATCGTACAACAGCCAGTAATTCAATATTGGGTCCGGCTCATCAACGAAATGCAGCCCCTGCTGGAGTTTATGTCCTGCCGAAGCCAGGTAATCGGCAACGAAATTGCCTTCTCTGTAGACGTGAATCAGCTGAACCTGCCAATCAAGTGCCAACATACGACGAGCCTCCTGCACCAAAAGGAAGTGGGGATGCCGGTTCTCAGCTTCCCTGATAAGCTTGATGGCCGTCTGGACGACTAAGCACCCGAGTCCCTCGTCCCATGCAACCTTTAAGCCCTTCACTATACCCTCCAGCTCCGCTCTCGTTATAGAGACTTCTCCCAACTTCATGGAAAATGCCCTTATTAGTCGCCCATGCTTGTCCCTTAAAACACCTCCCGCTGCAGCTTGCGCATTCATCACCGACCCGTCCGAGTTCAGAGCAGCCCAACCTTGCGGAGGCTGTTCCCACTTAATCTCCTTTATGTGCCTGTGTGGTGTAGCCTCCGTTCCCAGAATCCGCGCCGGGGAAGCAAGCTCGAGTCTTTGGATCAAATTCGCTACCTGTCTCCTGATCACTTCCGGTGCATGCATTTCTTTCTCAAACACATACTTATTCCTTCCTTTCCAAAGTAGCCAACAGGTGCCAGCGAATAAGGTGGGATCTATTACCTTGCTACGTCCCATGAGGTAGTGCATAGCCCATCTAGTTCTATCATGCTGGAAGAACACGTCATCTGGTTCGTCCCCGAGCAGCTCCGCCCAAACAGCTCTAGCCAGCGAGCAGTCGCGCACCACATGTAGAGCGCTCTCCTCCTCATGCTCGCAGATCGGGCACTCCTTCGACTGGCTCAAGTGCCGACGTGCACGTTCGCAATTCGTAAGCAACCTGTCATGCACAAACAGCCAGAAGAAGGCTCGAATCCTCTGCGTTGCTGGGATCCTCCAAACCGCCCGCCACACTGGGTGTCTGCCCCTCGGTCTTTCCTCCTCGTCCGTCAGCTCATACGCCGTCTTTAGGCTAAATTCTCCGTTTGGAGTAAGCCTCCACACAGGGATGTCCTCTGCTGTTCCTCTAGGTACTGGATGCAGTTGAATTTGGTTCACCACACTCTCAGGTAGGAACGCCCTCAAGTAATCTATATTCCATTCCCCATTGAGGCTCAGCTCCGCCACTCTCAAGCCACTTGCTTCTTCCGGTAATTCACCTACGTGGTCCGCCAACGGGGGCCCATCCTGCAACCACCGATCATGCCAAAACAGCATTTGCCCTCCACTTTGCACCGTCCACATAGTTGCTTCCGGCAGCAGATGCATTACACGTACCACGCCCCTCCACAGGTTCGAGATCCTTCCCGTTCTTCGTGGGACAAATCCATCAACTGTCTGCTTCATATATTTTGCTCGAATTACACGTACCCATAAGCTCTCCGTCTCCGTCATCAATCTCCATAATACTTTCAGCATAAAAGCCTCATTCATCCTCTCAGCACTGCGAAGGCCCAATCCACCCTCCTCCTTCGGCCTGCACAAAGTCTTCCAGTCAATAAGGTGAATCTTCCTGCCTGCCTCTGAGCTTCCCCAAACAAAAGCCGGATCTTTCTGTCGATATAATCCCAGACACTAGCTGGTAGGAGGGTCGTCTGCATAGTGTAAGCTGGGAGGGATGTCAAAACGGCTTGAGCTAGAGTGATCCGCCCTGCCAGAGTCATACTACCTGCCTTCCATCCGGCCAATCTAGCATCAATCTTATCAATTAGCGCTGTGAACGTATTCTTCAAAACCCGATCATGAATAACCGGGACCCCCAGGTACCTTCCAAGATTATTTGTTGTAGGGATTCCTAGCGCTGAGCTGAGTTCCTGGTTCCTAGCTGCAGTTACATTCCGCGAGAAGTACACCCGAGACTTCGGTTTACTTATTTGCTGTCCTGACGCTTCCCCAAACTTCTCGAAGCACTTGAGAATGACATCTACCTGCTCCAGCAAGGCCTCTCCGAACAGGATCAAATCATCCGCAAAGAAGATGTGTGACAGTGGCGGCCCGTGGCTAGATAACCTGATCGGTTTCCAAGACCCCCCTGTAACCTCCGCCTTAATCAGCTGGCTTAAGCGCTCCATGCAAAGGGTGAAAATATACGGCGAGAGTGGGCAACCCTGACGAAGTCCTCTCGATGGGGTAAAGGCTTCTGTTAGGCCTCCATTCCACTGGATCTGCATTGTTGCTGTAGAGATACACTGCATCGTAGCTTCTGTAAACTTATCTGGCACTCCCATAGCCTTCAACGTGTCCTCCACAAACTTCCACCGGATACGATCATAGGCTTTTGCTAGATCGATCTTGATCGCCATCCACCCGACTCGTCCCTTCTTCGCTCTCATAGAATGCACCACTTCCTGCACAATGCAAATATTGTCAGTTATATGCCTTCCCGGGACAAAACTCGTTTGAGTTTCGTCCACCAGTTTAGGCATCAGCGGCTTAAGTCTTTCAGCAAGGCTCTTCGTCATGATCTTGTATATAACGTTGCACAGGCTGATCGGTCTGAATTGTTCTATCAGAGTTGGCTTCGGGACCTTAGGGATCAGCACAAGAATCGTCTGGTTGACCTCCCCGATTCTCTTTGGATCTTCCCAGCAGCTTCGAACAAAGTCCACCACACTGGGACCCACAGTTTGCCAACATCGCTGGTAAAACAGTGGGTTAAGACCATCTTTGCCTGGCGCTTTCATTGGTCCCATGGCTCGTACCGCTTGCCACACCTCCTCCTCAGCGAAATTTCCTTCGAGCGCTGCCCCGGCATTGAGCTCGAGCTCTGGGAAATTAGCCAGGAGGACTCCTTCACCAGCCTGTTTGTCAAGATACATTCCTGGAAAATGGGAAGCAGCTAAAGTTAGTAGTTGGTTCGGCTCTTCAATCCACTCGCCATCTCCTCCACGTAGAACCAATATTATGTTCCTCTTTCTCCTTCGTACAACTCGGGTGTGAAAATATTTAGTGTTTCGGTCCCCGAGGTTTGTCCACTCCTGCGTTGCCTTTTGCCTCCAGAGTAAGTCCTCTTGCATCAGAACTTCTTCGAGCTCCTCCCTTGCCTGAATAATACGGTCCGAGTCGGCATCCCCTCCATTTAATTCTTCCAGCCGCTCAACTCGGGCCATCAGAGCATTTTTTTTTTCTTTAAAATGTGACCAAAAGTCTCCCAGTTCCAAATGCTGGCTTCCCTCGACAATTCCTTGGCGGCTTGGATAAAACCCGCTCCCCTACTCCATGCATCCCTGACCATATCCTGAAACCCATCGTGAGTTAACCATGCAGCCAGAAACTTGAACGGTTTCGGGCCGGCCGGCTGGAAAGAGGGATTAATTTTTATCAGAATGGGTCTATGATCCGACTTAATGCGGGGGAGGTGTCTCACTACCGTCTCCGGAAACATCGCCGCCCAAGACTGGTTTGTAAGACCCCTATCCAGTCTCTCGCGCATTCCCGCCCGAAACCACGTAAACTGTGGCCCTACATGGCCTAGATCCATTAGTTCCGCGTCGAGAACACAATCTTGAAACTCACGGGCTTGCGTTGCATCGACACCTGCCCCTCCCATCTTTTTAGACGCGTTCAAAATTGCATTAAAATCACCTGCTAGTAACCACGGCCGAGTTTGAGTTGCTGAAATGCCTCTAATGGTTTCCCAAAGATCCCTCCGTTGGATGAGAGCAGGATTTCCGTAAATGGCCGAAAAGTCCCATTTTTTGCTTTCAAACGTAACCTCCACATGTAACAGCTGATTCATTTTTCTCCGTTCGGTAATTGTGATGACTGAGGAATCCCAGAGTAGCCAGATGCCTCCCGAGAAGCCTCTAGCCTCCACCACTAGCTTCTCATCATAACCCATGCTGTTAATCACCGCTTCAGCTCTATCACCACTAATTCTTGGCTCAACAATAACCACTATCTTCGGTTGATATTTCCTCCTATACTCTTTAAAGACACGAAGGAAGCGATCGCTTCCTGCTCCCCTGCAATTCCAAGCAAAAATATTCAGGTCCATTTACTTGGATTTGAGGTTGCGTAAGCTACGCTACTGGGTTTTCTCGGGGTCTTGTGTCAGACCCCCTGAGCCACCAGCCACTACGACTGCGGCCTGCTCCGACTGAGCTGTTGTGTTTCTCCTTACCACAACTTCCCCCGGGTCGGGAATGTTGTTCTCCTGAAGAGTCTCCCCTCTCTTATCGCCATCATTTGGATTCATGGAACAGGGAGGATTACTCGCTGATGATGCTCCAGTTTGAGCTTGGACGTGCTCAGCATTGGATTCCTGTCGACTTGAGCTTAACTCCTTCCCCCCACCTGCTCCCTGTACATCTGCATGGGCTGTCTCTCCCATTTCGGTAGTGTCCTCAGTGGTTTTAGCTGCCGACATTAGTGCTTCCTTCCCTGCGCCATTTTCCCTACTGGTATTCCCATCCTTCTCCTTTCCCTTTGGGTCTCCCTTTTTCTCAACCCATATCTGTTTTTCCTTTGCCGCATTAGCCCTGTTCGTCTCCTTTTGGTTCCCTCGTTGGTTTCCACTGTTCACCTTCTCCCGCTTATCCCCCAAACTCGCACTGTCGGGCTGTTGTGTTTGTGGCTGCTCTCCCACCTCCTCCATCCCTTCCTCCCCGAGAACTGTGAAACGGGATCCTGAAATTGTTTGTCTCCTCGTCTTCCCTTCCTGTCCCGCCTTGGGCTCTCGGCCGCCATTCTCCACAATCCTAGGCCGGCGTTGTCTTCTGGTCGCTACCATCCATTCCCCATAGGGTTCTGGATGTTTTGGTATAGGCTCCTGCTTCTCCTCTTCACAACTGTCCTCAGATTGGTGAGTTGATGGGCACTTATTCTTCTGATGACCATATTTCCCGCATTCAAAGCAAATATTCGTCAACCCCTCCCATTGAATATCGTATTCCTTCCCCAAGATTTTGAACTGAGACAGGAGCGGCTTAGTTAGATCGACTTCCACACACACCCGCACATACTTTCCTCTCGCTCCTAGCTCCGTAGCTCGATCCAATCTCACTGGCTTTCCCGCATACGACGCAATTCTCAGCACTGCCTCAGGGTGGTAAAACTCAATGGGGAGTTCGGGCAGTTGCATCCATGCAAGCGTTGTTACTATCTCAGCTGACTTTGGGTCAAATCCCTTTTTCCATTGCTGCGTGGTAATGCAATGATCACCTAACATCCACGGCCCCCCTGTGAGTGCATGTTCGTAGTCTTGCTTACTCGTGAACCGGACGAAATAGCACTCATACGATCTGTTTGTCACTTGTATAATCCCGTTTCTTGCCCATAGCATATTCAACCTTTTCACGACCACCGGGTACGGGAAAGTTCGACCTAATACCTTCACTACAATTGCTGAGCGCCATTCGCGTCTATATTTTCTGAGCTCCATAGCTGTGAACGGTATGGCCGGGCACAAAGCATTCCCTGTGGCTATATCCATATTGTCCTCGTTGTCCTCCCTGATAGCTTCTGCCACATCCTCCGTATCGGAGTCCGCCACGTACCATTCTGTCTCTTTTAGGGTTTCACTGAACAGCTTCTTCCTCCCCACACCCCACGCCATCGAGGGCTGCGAGTAAGTTTGGGTCGGGTTCGTCTGAGGCGGCATCGCTCCCTTTCGTGATCTATCCACACTGCTAACATCGACCATCTCTTCCTCTGTGATATCTTCAATTGTCACTTCATCCACGTTCGTCGCTTCACGTTTCAGATTGATAGGGCGAACTCGTTTTTTTGGGTGTTGCGTTTCCTTCTCTTTCTTTCCATCCGGAGATGACGTCACCTCCGGCGGGCGGCGCTGACCTGCTGTTTGGTCCGGGGGTTTGGCTTCCGCCCCGCCTCCAGGGCCCGACGGCGTTGCCGCCGTCGTCATGCTGCGATGCACTCTTTCCAACCCTAGCTACGATTTCCGGGCTCCGCAAAAGTCGGAGCGTTTTTTTTCCTGCAGATGTGAATCGTTTTTCGCTTTCATTTATGGGAAATATTTGATTGGTCTCATTGGGTTTTTTCCTCCATTGGTATATTAATTCAATTTCCAAACTAATATTAAGAGCAAAAGAGGAAATTAAACATGATTTATTTTACTCCCTATTTCAAATGGATATAGGATTTTACTACCTTAAATGCATCATATAGTGAACCTCAAATTCTAAAATAGTAGCTGACCTGATATTTGGAAATACCTTAACTTTTTCTATAATAGAAATACCACCTTATACTCTTACTATAATGTTTTTTCCTATAAAATGAAAACTACAAATTTTGTAACTTTAACTATAATGTTCTTGCCATAAAATGAAAAATTATAAAGTTGGTCACAATTTTGGAGGAGCCAGGCGGACCAACCTACTATATACATAAATTATTCTCCTAAAATTAGAAACAACATTTACCGTTCATACTATAGAAAGCTGTTATTAGACACTCACTAATGTAACCTCCTATTGTCGGAATTCATGAAGTCCAGTGTAAAGTTAGACGAAGTTGAACGAACAATGAATTCAATAAAGATACAAATTGTAAGTTAGAAATTTAGACATATTTGATAGCATTATATATGTTTCTCAACTTAGCCTGATTGATTTAACAAGTCAAGTAAGGATATCGAGTAAAACTTAACCGCAAAGTCAACCGATCATGAAAATAGCGCACAATAAAAAGGTTTATCATTACAATTTAGGGTACCTATATCAACCCTTACACAATGCCATAACTACCATAAGAAATCGAACCAGAACTCGTACAGTCCTTTTTAATTGTTTGTAGAATTGTCGGTTCTGCTGTGCACCAATTTTATACAACTTTTCGGTTTTCAGGCGGCCTTGGATGCAGTTGCAGGCACTCAAATACTGCAAAAACAATCCACTCTGTAGCTAAAACTCTCTGAATCCAAAAGGAGCAAACCAAAACAGCAAAATTTTCCAACTTTGGCTTCCTTCTTCAATTCCACCACCTTCAACATCAGTCGTCTCAACTCCCCCATGGAAAAATATCTGTTGACCCCAAAAAAACCCCACCATGGAAAACTTACAGATTGGTCCTCCCCCATTTGGCTTTTTTTTTTCTGGGATGTAACTTTTGTTAACTTAGTAAATGCTTTCAGAACCGCGAAATTTATATTAGGAAACCAGAAAAAATACCCAACCCCATAATAATAATTTATTAATTTTACAAGCGGGAGGGGTTAAAATGTGACTATATAACACCACCTCCGTCTCTCTCCTTTTACACTCAAACCAGAGAGAAATCATTTACAGAAAATCTCCCATTTTCTCTGTTTCGAGAAATCCTCTGTTTCCTCTTCTTCGCATTGGTAAGGAAGGAAACAGAGGCAAGAGAGGCAGAGCAGGGAAGAAGAACAGATTCCGAGAAAGAGGTAAAAAGGCGAAGCTGCTCCGCCTTTTCCCCCTCTTCTTTTTGGTTTCCCGCTGCCTCTTCTTTTTTTAACCTTTTCCGGAGGGGAAGAAGAAACAGAGTTCAGACTTCAGAGGCTTCGATTGAAGACTTGCCATATCTCGTCTCGTCATTTCCATGTAAGACGACAAGACCCAAAGAACATTTTTTTTTATTTCATTTCCATTGGTTTCTTCCTGTTTATATTTTGAGCCCAGATTTTTCACCCCATTGTCTGAATCAGATCCATTGCTCCTCTGCTTTCTTGTTGCAGGCGTAGAGACATAGTGTGAAAAAGAAAAAAGAACAAAAAGAAAAAAAGGAGAAGAAATGGCACAAGATTCGCAGAGAATCGTGATACCAGAGGCGCTGCAGCTGTCGAGGGATGACATCGGGGTTCAATTTGCGCTGATGTGGGAGTTCGTCAAGGCTCCGTTGATTGTTCCCTTGCTGCAGCTCGGGGTCGTGATTTGCTTAATCATGTCGCTGATGCTCTTCTGCGAGAGGGTTTACATGGGCATCGTCATCGTCCTGGTCAAGCTCTTCTGGAAGAAGCCTGAAGAGCGTTACAATTGGCAGGCATTGCAGGAGGACATGGAGTCCGGTAACTCCGACTTCCCCGCCGTTCTCATCCAAATCCCCATGTTCAACGAACGAGAGGTCTCTCTTCCCCCTCTCCCCTCCCTTGTTTTCCCTTCCCCCTGTTTTCTTCAGAGAAAAATGCTAATGCACTTTTTTTTTACCGGCGAACAGGTTTACAAGCTCTCCATTGGAGCTGCATCGAATCTATCTTGGCCAGCGGATCGTCTGGTGATCCAAGTCCTCGACGACTCGACGGACCCTGAAATCAAGGTAAAAAAACAACAAAACCCAGTAAGCGAGCCTTCCAATTCTATTTGTTTCTACCAGGCTCCTCTCTCTCAGTACTTTTATCAGTCACATGGTGTGCATTCCTTTTTGACCTTATTCACAACCCGGAGAGTAGTAAAGGTTAAAAATTTCTTCGGCTCCTCAACGACCACCTGACGAATAGGATAAGACTCCCATCCTTCCCACCCATCTCCCCCACGTTCCCCTAACCCTCGGGCGTTACGCATTCATCTCACTTCTTTCAATTCTCGATTCCCCATTTCCGTCGGCTTGTGTATTGATCTTCATTTCTCAGCAATGAAATTCCCTCACTCTTGTTTAACGACTCGCTCTGCATCGTCGGTATTGTCTTGCAGCAAATGGTCGAATTGGAATGCCAGAGGTGGGCGAGCAAAGGAATCAACATCCGGTACCAAATCCGAGAGAACCGGGTCGGGTACAAAGCCGGAGCGCTGAAAGAAGGCCTGAAACGGAGCTACGCCAAGCACTGCGAGTACGTCGCCATCTTCGACGCCGATTTCCAGCCGGAGCCGGATTACCTCCGCCGCGCCATCCCGTTCCTCGTCAATAACCCCGAGATTGCCCTCGTCCAAGGCCGCTGGCGATTCGGTAATTTATATTTTTTTTTTACTTAATCTGACTTTTTTACTATAATTACGCAATTATGAGAGTGTCGGTGGTAAGTTTAAGTAAGGGTAAGTAAGGAACGCTTTTGGCATTGTCCCGTGCCGAAGGAAATATTCCGCTACGCTTGCGACTGCGTGAGTGAACCGGGCCCACATTCCATGGATCACGGGGATGTGTGGGGGCCCATTCTCGCGCTTGGATCCCACTCCTTTGTTTTATTTATCACTTTGCTCTAACCAAATCACAGCCGTACACGTCTTATGACCCCAAATGCGGACGCACCTACAGTATCAAAACCCCCTCCCCAGTTTCCCGCCGAAAATTCGTGATTAAGTCGAGAATGAATCCTTAAGCTTTCCATTTTTATGATAAATGCCAAACAAAAATTCCATAATGTTGCTGTGTATGTTTGCTTGACGTAAATGCCCCCGGATATCAGCATGTAAGTTAGCTGACTATCCCGATTCCCGGGAGATAAGGTGGGCTGGTGGGGGGTGGTTCGGTAATTCCAAAATCGTTAGTTTGTCTGTTTGTCTTTTCTTCCTTTACCGAGTTAGTTTACCACCGACAAAAAACCCCGGATTGTCCGGAATCTACATGGCGGCCGTCGGCCGTCTCCGGGTCCGGCTGCCACTTTCCGGTCACGTGGTTGGTTGGAAGAGACTTTTTTTTTTTTTTTACTGCGTTTGACGTTCCACCCCGTGGGACCCATCTTGCCGACACCTCGATTTCTTACTTCTCTGAGCTGGAAAATCAAAGTAAAAAAACATTAGAAACATGAAACAGAATTTAATTATAAAGGTAAGGAAATATGAAGTCCCTCGTGCTGCCGCGGGACGTGGCTGAATTTACTTCCCGAGTCACGTGAAGACGAAGTGAACCGAAACGGCTGGGAATTGATTACCGTGCTTAGGAGATTAATTTTCTGGGGAGTGGATGATTAAGTAGTAATGATGATGATAATTGCAGTCCATAATCATGTGCATGGGGTATGGTTGGTTGGTGTTTTAGTTTTGATTAATTATTGAATTATTGCAGTGAATGCGAACGAGTGTCTGCTGACAAGGATGCAAGAGATGTCGTTGGACTATCATTTCACTGTGGAGCAGGAGGTCGGGTCAGCCACCCATGCCTTCTTCGGTTTCAATGGTAACACTACTAAACCCCCGACTAAATAACCAATTAATTCATTATGGGTCACAAAATCGATATCGTCGGACTCTTTGTTTGCGATTGTTGTTCAATGTGCAAACACGATGTGAGGCACAATCCAACGATATCATCTCGCCCTCAATCGTATTATGAAGTTGACATAAAGGGGGGAAAAAGCTGCCTCAGTATTCAGTAGCATGTGCTGGAAGCAGGAGTAACAGTGTTTGTGTGTGTGGTTGGTTTCATGGAAAAGACTAGTCAAATGTAAAAAAGTAAAAAAAAAAGAAGAACAGAAGGAATTCTACTTTTACTGCTATTTAATGAATGGATGGGGTAATTCACTAATTCTGGTGTGTATGTACAATGTGGTGTAGGTACGGCGGGAGTATGGAGAATAGCAGCGATTAATGAGGCCGGTGGTTGGAAGGACAGAACCACCGTGGAAGATATGGACCTCGCTGTCAGGGCCAGCCTCCGCGGCTGGAAGTTTGTCTACCTCGGCGACCTTCAGGTCCTTAATCTTTCCCCCTCTCTCCCCATTCGTCCTCAAACTTTCATTTTCTTACAATCCCACTCCCCTCCCCTGCAGGTGAAGAGCGAGCTGCCCAGCACATTCAAGGCCTTCAGGTTCCAGCAGCACAGGTGGTCGTGCGGGCCGGCAAACCTGTTCAGGAAAATGGTGATGGAGATCGTGAGGAACAAGAAGGTCCGGTTCTGGAAGAAAGTATACGTCATCTACAGCTTCTTCTTCGTCAGGAAGATCATAGCCCACATGGTCACATTCATCTTCTACTGCGTCGTGCTTCCCCTGACGATTCTGGTTCCTGAGGTTCAGGTTCCCATTTGGGGAGCGGTCTACATTCCCTCGGTCATCACGATCCTGAACTCCGTGGGGACTCCGAGGTCGATTCACTTGCTGTTCTACTGGATCCTGTTCGAGAATGTCATGTCGTTGCACCGCACCAAGGCTACATTGATCGGGCTCCTTGAAGCTGGCAGGGTTAACGAGTGGGTTGTTACAGAGAAGCTTGGGAACACTCTGCAGAAGGTTGCTGATGCTGCCAAGAACAAGACTTCTGCTGCCAAGGCTGTCAAACGACACCGGTTCAGGTTTGCCGAGAGGTAATTTTAGTGGCTACAAAATTTTGGATTCTCTTCTCTAATTGATTCTTTCTTGGCCCATCTGCCCATTCTACCAAATCCATAAAGCTTGACATAATTATATGGTGATTGGTGAGTAGTATATTATACATGACCAAATCCAACTCTCTTAAAGATCAGATTTTTCTAGTTAGAATCTATCTTTGCAGTGTGTTGAAGACCACTCATTGACTTGAGAGAGTGATGTAGAATAGATAAAAGGGTTAGGTATGTGTCTGGTTGACCTGTTTCTGGGGTTCAGTTATAGTTAGTAGAGATGATGAAGTGGCTTCTCTGCCATTCACCTAACCCTTTTGGGAAACTATGGTAACGACATTTGGATATGAGACCCTTTTGGTTGATATTGTGGTTCTGATTGTGGTTGTTGTTTTGGGGACAGGTTGAACAAAACAGAGCTGGTATTTGCACTGTTCCTCTTCATCTGTGGCTGCTATGATTATGTCCATGGGAAGAACAACTACTTCATATACCTATTCCTTCAGACCATTACCTTCTTCATAGCAGGAGTCGGCTACATTGGCACCATCATCTAAAAAGACATGGCTACTAGAGAGTGCTCCCCAGATGGAAGAAGATGAAAGAACTGTGGTTCGGGGCGCAAGCCTACATTTTGTTTGTTGTTCTTCAGCAGTGAAGGGATAACCTTGGGAGCATCTTTAGATTGCAGACTGCCTGCTGGTTTTTGTTTTTTGTTTTTGGGTTTTAGATTTACTCTAAGTTGGCTAAAACAGACAGGGGAAAGAAAAAAAAAAAAGGGAAATGCACCATTGCTGCATGTGATCTCTATTCACAGAGAGCTTTTAAGTTTGGAGTGTAAAAAAATATCATTACTAGTTGAAACTAGAAGGTTAAGGTCATAGATAGTTGTTTTTTTTTACCATAAAGAGGGGGGTTGAAGAAAAAGAGCATCTTCTTATATATAGAGTATTGTATTGTCATTGGAGGAGGGCCTCTCTCTTGGCCTTCCCCTTCCCCTCTTTTTGTAAAAGATTGTTAGATTTTTCTTTCTTCCTTTTGGCTTGTTTGTTGGAGATGTTGGAAATAAACAGAGCCATGAAAGAAATTTGATGCCATTCTCATATTTCAAATGAAAAATCAGAAGTTCATTGTTCAACTAGTTCTGAATTCTGATACTCATCTTGCTATCATTCATCAAGAAACTATCTGTCTACGAAGAAACGAGTTTACTTGTGCGAACAATATAATTCGCATGCATAGTACGTGAATACAAATTGTTCGACATCGAGTTGAAGAACTATATGCTTATCATGTTTCGTTAAACCGGCTAGGAATACCGACACCGACAAAAGAACAAAGGACTAGCTAGCAATGCATGTAGCCAACTGTTTTGACTTACTGCAACTGCTCAATAAATATGCTGTGTGAGATGACCAACTAAGAAAGAATCTGAAGAAGAAAAGAAAAAAAGTGGGTTATGGAAACTTCTGAAGCAAGTGGTTGAGCTTGAGCAGCAAGCTGGCTGATGGGGTATTGGAATAAACAAATACAGAACCAATTCCATCAGTGTTCCCTTTCCTGCTGCTGCTGCTGCAAGTTATTAGTTGGGCTCGGTAGGCCACAAAATTAACTGCAGAATATAATACATATCCAACTGTTGGTTTAGGTAATCGTGTGCTGATGCTAATAATATTTGTTTAGTTATTGGGACTCTGGAACCTGCCATATAACAGAATCCACATGTGCTAATGTATCTTTGGATACAACTGTCTTCTGCTGATGTAGGCTCAGAAATATTATCTTTTTGGGCTGAAGGGAGAACAGCCATTGCAATTAGAAACAACATAGTGGAAGATGATGCACATATAATGGTTGGATTTAAGTGAGAAGTGAGAACCAATGAAGAGAGCCCATTCATTCATACAACTGTTGGAAAAAGTTTCTGACTATCCGCTGATTGTGGAAGGAAAACAAATAAAGACAAATTAGGGAACAGAACAAGATAAAAATACTAATCCTTAATTATGGAAAAAGAACCAAGACAAATTGTGGATGGGGAATTTCTTTTATAATATCAAATGGTAACAGATTGATAGGGTCACATATTTACTGAATAAACTGATCATGGAAAAAACTTGATCTGTCATGTTCCTGAACCAGAAAACAACATTTGTGACAAGAAATCTCTAGATCATGTGGGCTGGTTTTGGCTCTTTGCCTTACCATGTTCCTTCCTTCATTCATTGCGTGCAATTCAATTATGTTGTAGATAGATAGATATACAGGCCCATCATAACTGTGTCTTTTCCTCATTTCTCCCACACAATGAGTAAACAGTATGTGCCACTGCCAGATTCCCATCGGATATTCTTTTGTCTTCATTTCCTCTTTCCCCATCCAATCAAATCCAAGCCAATGACGATCTTGTGCTATATCTCTTCTCAGTCCTTACTCACAATCACAATGCTGAAGATGGTAGTTTCTAGGTGGGTATTTGGAACAAATTCGTTATCAATCAGCGTCATTTAAGTTTATAAAAACTTACCATTAGATATCTTTTGGATAGTTTGAGTTAAACGAACGATTAACTAAGTTCTTGATATTGCAATGAACTTCAATCATAGTTAAGGTTGCGTTCGAAATGATTAAGAGACTACCAACCATAGTTTCGAGGCATTTAAGCGAGCCGGGTCCAAAGCATTTTAGTGGTCACCAACCTATGGTGCAGGACCGCTCGAAACATTACTATCTCCCGGTAGCATCCTATGTGAGTCTGTCCCTCTCCAACTCTAACTCTGTAATGTGTGTATGTAGAACTAATAATGGTGGGGGCATCAATGGCCTCACTTCTCGTGCCTTGTCCATATCGACATTGTTTGCTGGTTTTCCCATTCTTTCTGTTATTCCCAGAAAAGTATAAGTGACTTGCCACATTTCTTTTGCTGTTAATTAATCTGCACTGATGATGATTACAGACACATCTTATTTTTAAATTAGCCAGAGACTGTTCCAGCAACTGAAGCTTAAAGGGCACTCAAATTGATTGGTTTCTTGCCCTCTAAGTTCCATTGCTCACTAGGCACTAAAATGATGATCACTTCATTTAACTTGTAAGGCAGCAATTATGTAGGCAGGTGTGAAAGATTCAGAGTTTGCACACAGGCCCCAAATCTTCAAATGTTTGTGGAGAATCAATTAGTTCTAATGACTCGGATTGTTGGGCGAAGTTGAAATATGAAATCTTATTCTAATCCTGTACACACGTCCACAAAGAAAAGTCTACCTACTGTCGATCAAACCACAATATGATACCATGTAAACTAAGACCAGTTGGCTCCAATAACTTGAAATGATGGGAGAGACTCAAGTATGAATCTAATGCCACTTTATTGTACAATGAAAGCCAACTCATGGGTTTAAAATTTGCATATATCGTCTGCTTAAATATATAGTAGGAATTGAACACGAGGATTTCTCGGTTCGACGAGGTTTATATGAAAAAGTTGTAGGAAGATATTTAAATATGAATCCATTATATCACTTTGAGTGTCGAATTTTTTTATTTTTTAGTTAATGCATCCGAATTTTAGTTTATAATAAACCATTGCTATAACTATTATGATTTTCAAGTATACTACACTTCACAGTAGTAATTTTGATTATAAAATATGCAGTGAAGATTAATACCACCCAGCGTTTGTAGTCCAACGGTTAGGATAATTGCCTTCCAAGCAATAGACCCGGGTTCGACTCCCGGCAGACGCAATTCTTTTCTTTTGCCTCTTTTTTTCCGCCAACACGAGAACCGAGTTCCCCGACCCAGGAACAAGAAGGAAGCGTCTAGAAGCCGCGGGTGATACCTGTTCGCTGCAAATTATCAGCAGCTCCACGCAGCCGATCAAACCGGAACTTTTCTGGAAAGAGTAAAGCGAGAAAGAGAGAGCGTGAGAGAGTCTCCGGCGATCGAGAAGTCGGCGACCGATTCGATCGAAGAAATGGCGGAGCACTTGGCGTCGATTTTCGGGACGGAGAAGGACAGGGTGAATTGCCCCTTCTACTTCAAGATCGGAGCTTGCCGCCATGGCGACCGCTGCTCCAGGCTCCACACCAAGCCCAGCGTCAGCCCCACCATTCTACTCTCCAACATGTACCAGCGCCCTGACATGATCACCCCAGGCGTCGACGCCCAGGGAAACCCTATCGATCCCCGCAAAATCCAGCAACACTTTGAGGTACTCTTCCCCCTTCCATCACTCTATCCATTTTCTGTCATATTCTCGTGTTCTTCTCTCGTTAAGGTTCTCTCCATTGATTTGATTAAGGGAAATCTCTGTAATTGTCAAGCTTTCTGGTTGAATTGGTATATAATGGTAAATAACTATGCTTTTTGGATAGATCTTTAGTTAGAATCAGTTTCCTGTGTGCGTTGATATGCTGCAAGCTAGATTAGAGTTGGGTGTCTACAACATGGTTGTGGTGAGATTTACGATTGGTTGGGGTGTCCATTCACTGCAGGACTTCTATGAAGATCTGTTTGAGGAGTTGCACAAGTATGGAGAGATTGACAGCCTGAATGTTTGCGACAACCTTGCTGACCACATGGTAAAGTTCTATATACAGGATTGCTCTGTATTATTGTTGATTTCCAATTAAGTTAACACTTGTTGTTCGTCAACAGGTGGGAAACGTTTATGTTCAGTTCAGGGAGGAAGAACAGGCTGCTACTGCCTTACGCAAACTGACTGGAAGATTTTATGCTGGTTAGTATATGTCAAAGTTTTACTTTCTACCTTTTTTGTTCAGCTGCTGAACTTCATCTTTGCTAAGCATTTTGTTTTTGTTGATGTGCAATTCCATGCCAGGCCGCCCCATCATTGTGGACTTCTCCCCAGTTACAGACTTCCGAGAGGCTACCTGCAGGCAATATGAGGAGAACACATGCAACCGTGGTGGTTATTGTAATTTTATGCATCTTAAGAGGATTGGCAGGTAAGCGTTTCTCTTCCTGCCTGTATGATATTTGATAGAAGGAGTTGGTTTATGTTGTCTGATTAATTTGTTGCTGCTGGGATTATTTAGGGAGTTGAGACGGCAATTGTACGGGAGCTACAGAAGCAGGCATAGTCGTAGCAGGAGCAGAAGTAGGAGCCCCTACAGGCATAGAAGCCATGAAGATCATCACCATAGGAGTAGTAGAAGATATGACGATGAAAGAGAGCGGTATCATGAGAGCCGGAGTAGAAGGAACAAGACCACCAGCCCTGATCACTGGAGGGATCGAAGTAGAAGTCCAGGAAGAGGGAAACGTGACAACCGAAGCCCTGTTAGGGAAGGTAGTGAAGAGAGAAGGGCCAGAATCGAACAGTGGAACAGGGAAAGGGAAAATGGATCGAGAACTGATGGTAATACTGATTCTGGATACCAGGAGCAGGATTCACGCAAAGAAGTGGAGTATGGCAATTGAGTATCTCTGGTTTGTATCTCTTCCTTGGCATTATTTGATCTTGTGTTTTTTTTCTGAGTGGAAATTGAGCATTTTCGACTGTGCAGGTGATTTTGCAGGTTTCACAGTTCTGTTACTCTGCCATAATGGAACATATTTGCTGCTCAAAATTGCATTTCATAGTGTTTAACCGTGTGATAACACTTAACATTCATTTAACATTCATTTGTGCTTGTTATTCTGTCATAATGGAACATATTTGCAGTCTCCACTTGCATGTTTGCATTCTATGTATGCATTCATTACAGTGAAGGAACTCTCTGAACAACGTTGTAATGAGGCTAGTAGCTAGAGAACGCATTCAGAATCTGCAGTCCTACATTCGATTTTTGTCTTGTGAACTTCCTCAGTCCTCAGTCAAATCCTTTGTGTCTTTCAGCATTACACGGAGAAAATACTGGACGTGTGTGATCATGAGTTTTTGCAGGTTTCAAGCATTCCTGCTTCTCCTAACCATACCTTGTTTTGTTGAATAACCTCCTACGATCATATTTGTTTACAGGTGGTTTTGATTGGAGGTGTTGGCTGGAGTGAATCACATTCACGCGAGGAACGGGTTATAGATTTGACGACTGACTAGTTTGACCCAATGTTGCAGCCTGCAGGGGAAGTCTGGGACTGTTGGAATCTCTTCTTTTAGGACGCACTACTTCGCGGTTTCCTTTGTTCTTTCATGGGTTTCCATCTAGGAACTTTAGTATTGTTTTGGTTTTCTTCCTCCCAAATGTAACTGGATTGGACGTTTGCCCGTTTGGACTTTGCTGACAATTATTTTCGTTGTATAATCCTCTTGAAGTAATGAACATATGTCTGTCCTTTAATTTACATCCGCCATTATTTTAAGAACGATTACACTCGACAGAGTGTAGTTGTTAAACACCATACTTGATGCATTTGCAACAGAAACATAAACATGTTTTCAGTATCCGAGAACGCTGTGACCGCGAACAAATTTCGAAAATCACTTTCACAAACATCCATCTATTTCCTCCATAAGTTCTTTCTCACGAACAATAAAGAACAAAAACCTCTCATTTACCACCTCCCTCTTTGGCGACTACTCAAAAGCAACACTTCTCTCCCATCGATACTCTCCCCTATACTATGAGCTCTTCACTTGGCAGTGTGCTTGGCCTTGGCGTGAGACTGCAGAGCACCGTCAGATCCAAATGACCTGCCAACAAGCAAAACCAACATCAATTACAAATCCTTCACCCTCCCAACATACCAACTGTCAATAGCTAATACACCGATATCCAACCGGCTCAAAGTGAGTACCTGTCGCAGGATTTGCAAGCAAATTCACCACCAGATTTTGGGGACTTAGCAGCACTACCTGCTGTCTTCGCAGCATTCTTTGCAGGGTGAGGTGTTGCTGTGTGTGCAGCCGCCTTCTTGCCATCTGAGCAAAACACCCAACACAACATAGTTAGCACCGAAATCATTAAGCATGAGGGTTGGAAAAGAAACTGTAGAGTGCATTTCAAGTTAATCTTTTAGAGAACAAATATCACCCACTACAGAACACACAAGAGACAACATGGGGGTAATTTTGATGGGTAACTCACCAGTCTTCGCAGGTGTAGCCTGTTTGGCCTTCTTGGCAGGCACTGGTGTTTTCACAGCCGAGTCGTTTGACCTTTTCTTACCCTGCTCCGGCTTCTTTGGAGTTGGAGTCTTCTCGTCTTCACTATCATCACTGTCATCATCTTCATCTGAATCAGCACCAGCATCAACAGACATGTCCTGCACCATTGATAGGGAGAGGATGTGTGATCATGGCAATAGTAACATTTAAAAATCAGTGAGATGGCTCAAAAGTTACTACAAACTACCTCTACAGACTCATCTTCGCCAGATTCATCTGAATCATCATCTGAATCATCTTCATCATCATCTGATTCGTCAGATTCATTCTCAGGCTTAACGGGCACAGCAGCAGCTTTGGATTTTGGTTTTGCAGCTTCAGGCTTAGCAGCTGCAGCCTTAGCAGGAGCAGCAGGCTTAGCCTTCTGAACTTTACCTGTTTCAGGCGAATTAGAGGCAAGTGAGACAATGTCAGGGACTATACAAGAGTACAAAACAAAACATTGTAACTATCAATAAACAAGAAATGAGTGCATACCGTTCTCTGCCTTCACCACTGGGAGCTCCTTCTCTTCCTCTGACTCTTCCTCAGAACCAAAATCTGTAAATGCCAGACAGATTAGAAACTTCAGTGACATGTAACCATTTATATATAGAGAAGTCCTATTTGAGTTCGGGACTCACCAGAAAACTCCTCAGTGGACGCAGCAAATCCGAAGGGAATAGGAGTTAAGGAATGGATGTTTGAAACAATTAAAATTTTAAGATTCTGAAAGATAGCATATTCACATTATCATCATACCACCAACAAACTCACAGAACTAGCTACAATGACCTAAATATTAAAGCATGAATGATTAAAAAAACATCAAGTGGTTAAAGGATATTCATCATCAGGGAGAATAGACTTGTAGCCAGTGAAATAGATGCTCCCATTCTTCCAGTTGTGGGAAAGTTCAAACTCCTGCTCCAATACTAGATCAAAAGCCAACTGGGGAATGGTTTCAGGAGAGAGGGTTCCCAAAACAAGCTTCTTGTCACCAACTTTGATGAAAAGAGGCACAAACTCATTTTCCTTGGTCTTTTTCGCCTCACCAAGTGCTGCCTGGAATTGCAAAATCATAGCAAAGTAGGAATTACATAAATCATCCAATCACAAACCAAACTACAACAAGCCCAACTACATTTCAATGAAAATAGAATTGAACATACATGGGACAGATGAAGGATAACATCGTCCTCAGGAGTCACTTTAAGTGGCTGCCCAGCCTTAACCTCAACACCTGCATCACATCATCGCAGCTCATATCAGCAAACGAAAGCCATACAAGCAAATGGAAAGAAAAAACCCTGACGGGTTCAAAGGCTATTAACTCAATCTAATTGCCAACAAACCATCAGGAAAGTACCATCTATAACAAATAATGGCCCAAAACAAACCGGTGAATCAGCCAAACCCGTCAAACTAAAAACCTAGTTATTCATCCCCTTACACTAGCAAAAGGTAATTACAAGTGTCATTTTCCAGAAGCACAAACAGAGTACAAGAGTTGGCATCAAGATATTAATATTATTATCTTATAATAAGAGAACAAAAGCACCAAAAAGAAAACGCCGCGGGATTACTAAAAGGAACGATCTTTAACCTTACTAGAACGGGACGGACCAGCTCCAAACAAACACAGAGGAGAACCCAGAACATATACTCGCAAAAACGGAACAATACACGAAGAAACATGAAGGGAAACGAAGAGCGTACCCCAAAATTCCATGGAGGAAGACATGGTGATGGACTTCGGAGAGAATCGACGGGAGGGACGATAGGAATTTAGGGTTTAGTGAGGCTAAACGAGGCGGAGGAGCGTGAGGAATGAAGGGGTTTATGAGAGGCGAATTTATAATGCGAGAGAGAGAGTCAGCTTGCAAGGTTTTGGCTCCGCTCCACCGCGAAGTCTCTTATTTCCCCTAGGGTTTTGCCGTTTTGGCGACTGGCGCGTGGCCCGCCAAGACAAACAGTGAACGCGTGGGAGAGAACAAGAAGGACGGCCTGCTAAACTATTGGGCCTAAACTTAATGGGCTTCTTGAACAGTGGGCTGCGTATAGTTTGCTATTAAATCAATCTGCCCAGTAAGCCGCTCTGGTTTTGAGCAATTTATTGTGACCATATAAGAGGCCGAGGCGCGCGGCCCAATAAATTGCTCGACTTATCGTTGATACAGATCCAATGAGTTTCCCTTTGTCACAACTCACAATCAGTAGCGTAAATACAGAGCTTTGGGTTGATGCCTGATGGTGATGATCAGCGAGGGAATGAAAGAGAAAAGAACTTGAGAGGGAAAGGTCGAAGATACCCTAATGAAGAAAAGGAAAATAGAGAGACATAGCTACTTTGCAAACGCGGAGTGATCCATCAACGAATTAGATGTGATTGTATATTTCGATTTGACTTGTCTAATCTATTTTGAAACGAGATGAGAACGGAAGAGACGTTTTTTTTTGTGTTCAATCTCATTCCGATTCATTGTGTTCTAGGCCCATTATATCTAGTTTGTGCATGATATTTATTTTTGAACTACTCATGTTCTAAACTTCGTTGGTTCAGAGTCCGACCTTATCAAGCTCTACTATTAAGCGAGAACCTCCACTGATCAATATCATTCATGCTTTCCATTTTAAATTATAAAGTGTTGTTGTTCCACTTTTGATGAAAAACTACATGTGTAGGTTTTACCTAGACAGGCAATCGAGAATACAGGGCTGCTGTGTGCATATGCCGTGACAAAAAGATAGAAAGAGGACAAGAACAGCAACACATCATTGCTAACGAAGGTAGAGCCGTGGGAGACGCAAGCGAACATGCGGCAGAAGCAGAACATTTATTGAATGATGCTCTCGATCGGTAGGAACCAGGCAATAGAGGCGTAGGTTGTTGGGAAAACATGTCCGAACGACAGACACTTGGCAGAGTAGGAACGGGAAGAAGACATTCATCGTGCATTAATACTGGATTAGGGAAGTAGAAAAACGAGCCCATTTCTATAGTAGGGGAGTTTGATACACCGATCGTTCTACTAGAAAAGAAAAAGAAGAGAGTTTAATCAATCCGTGTTCTATTCTAATTGTCTATCAGTTTAGAGAGAGAGAAAAAAATGGTAATCACCAAATAAATTGGATGTTAGAGTTGTTGATCAATCTCATAAATTTATCAAGTATTCATAAAATCATCGTAAATTTAAAAAAAAAAAATATACGCCGGGATCCCCACAATAAAATAAAGAGACAAATTAATAGATGCAACAGGGATGGCAGAATGAGACTGAAACGCCAAAGAGTACATGAAAAGAAGGATCCAATGCTTATGAGTTGGGTAAGAGTAGCTTATAGCTTGAAGATTGAGCATAAATCATTTAAACTTGCATATATTACGGCGAGTACTGTTATCAACAGGGAATTTTGCGGCTTGCAATAAAACCGTATGAAATGGTATCATAATTTGAACCCTTTTCTCTGCCCTCTCTCTTCTTCTCGGTTCCACTTTCCTTCTTTTTCCAGGGGCTGCCGCCGGCTCCTTTTGGTGACCGGCGGCAGCTCAAGCCCTCCATTCCTCTTTTTTTTTTTTTTTTTTCCTTCCTTTTCTTTGTGCTCATGTTAATCCTGGCCTTGTTCTAGGTGTTTTTCCTTCGGATTTCCAGCTTTTCCCTGCCGTTGTGGCCTTCAGCTTCCTTTCCAGTCGAGCTTTGTCTCTTCTTTTCCCGTCGAGCTTTGTCTCTTCCTTCGGTTCTTGGTACTCCTGTTCAAGGTTTGCTCGTTGTAGGATCCGGAGTTTGCAGTTTGGTGGGTGCCTATTCCAGATCTGGATGGTGGTGATTTTTCCAGATTGGTGGTCTCATCCTTTGATGAAACCATTCTCTTCTTTCCCTTTCCGACCTCCACTTTGTGTTCGTGTTGCGGGGTGAGTCGTCGGATCGTGGAGGGTCGGGTCTTCTCCGGTGGTTGTGGTTGGTAATCGGTGTTCTCCGTGGAGATTTGTGGCTCCTTTGTGATCTTCTGCTCTGCTTCAAACATGATTTCTCTGCCTCAGCTTCCTCTGCCTCTGTTAGCTTGGAGCAATCCGTTCAAATCATTTTCCACCGCCATGCAATCTTGTTTCTAGGATTCACTGTGATGGATGCCGTTGAGTTATCCCCAGGAGGCGGCATATGGTTGATGTAATCACTAGCCATGGATTTCGAGTTGATCGGACAAGCTGATTTCGCTCTTGTTGCATTCTAAGTGGTTGGTTGCAAGAGAGATTTCTGATGTACTGGTTTTTTCAAGGGTTCGATTCTGTTGGATGGTTGCTGTCAAACTGTGTTGTGCTCTCTGTTCTTGCTTTTGCTTTTCATGGTTTGATTGTAACCGAGTTCTCTTTTCCTTCTTCTTGTTAAACCAGAATGTTGGTATGTTGTCTCTTTGTATCTGACCGGTTAAAATGCAATAAAGACTCTCCTTTGTCAAAAAAAAAAAATGGTATCATAAATATATTCGACATGGTACGTTATCTATATTGTACCCTCCACATTTGTTTTGTTTTTCTTAGAATGCGGTATATGATTCATTAGACTATTATTGAACATCTCTCAACAATTCAAGTTATTAAGACCAACCGATTCTTGTTATAGTATCAGAGTCTTCTTATAAACAAGAAGTCTTCTTGTCGAATCTCATAGACCCATTTTTGGACTGTGCAAACTTCAAACCCAAGAATGACATGAGTTTGAGGAACGTGCTGATATGTGGTATAAGATCCATTGTATAATATCTTATTATTGAATCTCTCCCCCCAACTCGAGTTATTGGAGTCAAATGATTCTTGATAGTTCTTTCATGACATTCATTTCTTTCAAAATAAGGGTCCCTATGTAGTATGTATTATGTAAATATTAACAACCGCGGAGAGCCGGAGACGTTAAGATGTGTTATATCCAACCTATACATAATTGTAAATTGTAATCATATACAGAGTATCCAATTCATTTGCTCTCATAATTAGTGATTAAATATTATGTTTAAATTGTGGGGGGAAAAAAACACTAACCATCCTGAATTGTTTTACGCCATCTTCAGCAACTACATTTGTTGTAATATTGCAAATTTGTAATGGATTGTCACACTAATGTAATTGATTTGGCAATTGCATAAACCATGTTATATAATCTTGCAATTGAAAATGCAATACCATTGTGGATGCTCTCCAACTTTACGCTCAATATAAAACAAAGTGTTCTTGTTTCTGTTTCTATTTGTTTCGACACTTTCTGCATTGTGAAGGGATAGTGCTTCACAGTATGACAAAGGCAGTTTTTGATGGGCAAGTGATGATTGAAGAGGAAAGCCACTGAAGTAAAAGTCTGAAAACGATAAAAGGGACAAAGGAAGGTGCCCACTACTAGCTCCTTTCCTTTTTGACTCCACACAACAAGAGAAAATGTTGAAAGGGAAGATGATATGTAGATCAGAGTTGGAGAAGGAGGTTTCCATCAGAACTGATGGACTGGACTTGATTTGTCTTTGCACTTTGCTTATTATGTATCTTAAGTTCGTACTAATCAATGATTCCATGTGTTTCCCCCCATTCTGGCAGCTGTACTAAACTACTAATGATTTTTATCATTATTGGGGATGACTTGAATCAAAAAAATTCTATAGATGATAAGTAATCTGAAAGTTCGCCAAAATACTATTAGACAATTAAGTACCATCTCCACCAATTATGTCAGTCAATTAAGGTAAAAGAATCAATTTAAATATCGTTCTAAGGGAATTATAGTTACATAGTAGAATGTGATCCTAATTTAAAGATTGGAACAGAAATTTATCGATTCTCTAAGAATGACGGAAAGTAATACGTCTAAAGATACATAGGAAACATATCAATATTCTTCTTAGAGGTATAAAGAGAATTAGTCTTGAATCAATCTCCTAGTGGTTTTGTTTTGTCAACACCTTCTTGTGTATACGTTTAGTATTTGATTAACTTTTTAATTCTATGGAAATAGAGGAGGAGGGGATACGTTTAGTAGCTGGAAGTTATGTTATTCGCGTAAACCAAATCCACAAACTACGTACCTACATACCTACTAGTGGTCAATTAGTTAGTCGGGAAACATTAAGAATTAGTGTATTCTGGTTAATTTGGCTTTATCTTAATTAATTAATTAATCCTCATCTTAACTACCTTGTTATGCTCTTACACGCTACCTCAAGATAGTTCGATGGAATGCCAGCCAAGATTGTTGGAAAAAAAGAAAATTTCCATGGCTCTATCCTCTATTATCAAACGCAGTAACGGTAAATACTATCCTCCGAAATGAGAATTAAACAAGAAATACAGAATGAAGACCGAAATAAATCATCGTCAATATCCATCGTTTGATTGCATATTTCATGATCCAACGTCAATCTTGCTAGTCGATATGGTTCGTTGGGTGAACCCTCTATCTGTATCCACACAAAAAAAATACCTTGAAAGGGCATTGGCAACTTATGATTTAATTACAATCTCCAATTTGCCCATCCATGGCGGGAGAGAATATTTGTCTCCCGACCCGAAATTGACCTAACCGAATACCTAATAATTTCACTCCAATCCCATCCATTCCCCAGGTTCAACTCCCCTGCCCATATTCCCGCGTAATCACAACCTGCCACCGTCTTAAATTCTTAATCATCCGTCTAATCACATAATCGATTATAATTCAATCAATCTAACCGGCCACCGCCACCGGCCGCGCCGCCAAGGGATTACTGTCGGAAGTCGATGAATTTCAGCCACGGAAACCCACTCCTCGTTGCCTTCTCGACTTCGTTCGAACAGGAGGAAGACGACGAGCACGGCGGCGGAGTCGGCGATATAACGCCACCACCGCTACCGAATTCGGTCGCCGCTTTTCTCTGGCACATGAAGAAATTCCTCGACCCCAACTCTTGAAGCTTCTCTGCCCTTTCCAGACCTGGGGGACCACACCAACCAAAATCAGACTCAATCAATCAAAACCATCCACGTCTACAATTTTTTTTTGCAATTCCCAATTAGCCGAAACCAAAAGGGGGGAAAAAAACGAACGAATTGGTGAAAGAAAAAATTTCAATCGGCGGATGAATCGATTTAGGGGAAGAGCGAGATCTTACTTTCTAAGCTGAACTGCGAGTAGTGGAGGCCGAATCGGGAGGGATCCGCCGCGACAACCGGCCGTCGTCCTTCCTTGTTGTACTGCCGGATTACGGCTGCGATCAAATCTCCCACCGTCGATTCCGGCGAAATCAGCACCTGCACAGCCCCGACGCTGCCTTGCACCGTCACGTTGAGCAGCAGCTTCGTCAGCTTCAGCGGCCGGATCTCGACGCTCGACGACGCCGCCGTCGTCGAGCTTCGCCCGGCGAGCAAGTTCGGCAAGGTCTTCGGCCTCTGCATCCTCGGCTCGGCCGGCAGAGTCGGCGCCATCTGCTCCGCTATTCTCCCGCCGTGAAACGACACCGCGCGCTCCGTCGGCCGGTTCTTGCGGTTGTTAGCCTTCTCCGTCGGGTCCAGTAGTCCTCTCCGGTTGCTCTTCCCCGTTGACGGCATAGCAGATAATCACAACAGAGCAAAACAGACTAATCTCACCTCAAGCGGCGGTATCGGAGGAATCGGTAGCGAGGGAGAGCGAGAGCGGCGGAGGAGCTCGGGCTCTCGAATCCCCGTCGGCCGTCAGCGCGCATAACCAGAGTGGCCTACTTTTTTTGTACACAAAACCAACGAATCAGGAATGAAGAAATCGAGAGAATGGAGAAGGGGAATGATGAATTTTGGATTCGGGTTTTAGCGGATTAGAGTGGGGCTTTATATGGAGTGGAGGAGAAGCGAAGCGGGCGCAAGAGATAAAAGGAGAGAAGAGAGAGGGATACTCTACTCCCATTGGAGACCTGGGGCTTACCGGCTACAGCCGGTAGGAAGCCCATTTTGTACACGCTTGATTAGGTGGGCCCGCCGTTAAGGCCCGTGAAAGTGGCCATGGGCCCTACAAGGCTCGCCTAATTGTTCCGGGCTTATTTACGGATTACGCTATGCAAATTATGTGGTGCCTGGTAGGTTTGGCGGCTATCGCGGTCTAGTTAAGAAAATCCAGTGTTTCGCACGTGTGACAAAAAAAAAAAAAAAACATTATCGTTGCCGCTAGAGTTTGACAGTGACGGCCTGGGACGGTGGAAAGGAAGCGGTCACTGGAAGGTTTTTTTATTTATTATTATATTATAAAACTAAACGGCAAATAATAATACACGGTAACGACGTAAGCAGTAGAAGTTAAAAGGGGTGTTGTGGTGATACCGTTACTGTTAGTAAAATAATAATAATAATAATAGCGGGGGAAGTCAGCTGAAACGGCGGTGTATTACACGTGTCGGAATCTCACTGAGTGTGAGTGACTCAGCACTCCACGAGTGGGGCCTTCTTCCCGGTAGCCGGTTGGGGCTGGGGGACGTGGAGACAGGCTAGTGGCCCGGGAACGCGTTAGGATGATTACTCAAAATTGAGTAATCACCGTGGCTACTAAAATCTAGACCCTTAATTATCTATATTTTACTCTAATTTTAAATTGACGATGAAGATTAGATTAAGGGTAATTTTGAGAATAAAAAAAATACCACACCTGATTTCTATCCTTTAAAAATTAATTCTATATATTATACCTAAACCTACTCCAACCCTATTTTATATCTTCGTCAACACCTATCCTGCGGCCCTCCCACTGCCGGCAGCCGCCCACCCTCCGGCGACCCTCGCCCACCTTTGCGGTCTCTCTCTCTCTCTCTCTCTCTCTCTCTGATGGCGGTGGAGGTGTTAGATGGTGATGCCGGCCTAGGCCAGCCTTCCCCCTCCCTCTCTCTCCAAACCTCCTGATCCCCTCTCTCTCTCTATATTTTCTCCTGCCAACCTTCCGTGCTTGTGCAAGTTGGGGATTGGTATGTATTTTTGGGGATTGGTATATTTTTTTGGTATTGCTTTGTTTTGATATTGATTTTGTCGCATTGGTATTATTTTTGTCGTAATGGTATTATTTTTATCATATTGGTATTGATTTTGTTGCAATGGTATTGATTTTGTCGCATTGGTAGTGATTAAATCTGCAATGGTATTGATGTTTTGTGAAATGGTAGTGTTTTTCTTTCTTGAATGGTATTGATGTTTTATGAAATGGTAGTGTTTTTATTTCTTGAATGGTAGTTTTCGTGTAATGGTATAAATTTATTTATGCAATGGTAGTTTTCGTGTAATGGTATAGATTTATTTCTGCAATGGTATTGATATTTTTCAAAGTGGTAGTGTTTGTCTAATGGATTGGTACTGATTTCGTTTTTTTTTTTGGCAGAAAGATTGAGAAAAATATGGAAAGGAAATCTCGCTGGAGATTACGGAAGTGAGAGAAAGAGAGAATTTTAATTAATAGATTTTTGTAACTACCTTAAATGTAATTTATTAAAAAATTAATTAATATAATTTATTTTTCCATACCCAATTTACCCTTAGTAACCACGGTGATTACTACTTTGTAGTAATCACCGTAACCTGTCCCTAGTGGCCCGACAAGAGATGCCAGAGCCGGGTGGGACTCTGGCTGACGTAATTCGTCACGCTTCCCTAAGACAAGCACGATTTAGGCAATTAATTAATGCATGATTTAATTTGTGGATTTGAGCATAGGGTAGGGTTCGATTAACATAATAGTTAAGGTTCCCACGTCGGATAAATATCTTGTTTAAATATAGAAGGAAATCCTTGTTACTCTGAGGTGAGTTTGAGTTAACCAATCTAGTGAGACGGTGACGTATTGGGGATTGTTTGAGGAATCAGGATAGGAATAGAAGAGAAAACCAGAGGAAAGAATGGCATGAATCTATGAGCTGCAAATCTGCAATGGATGTGTTGGGGAATATTGTCTCGATACATCTGGTAATGGGTTAGTCAGCAGCAATAATGGTGGAGGTATAAGAGGTAAAGGATGTGTGGAGGGAAAATTTATTAACACCGGGATCATTTTCTTTTTCGTTGTAAACGGGATGTTAATTTGACTATAGGATGTTAATACTATCATTTATAAGAATGTTTTTTTTAGACATATTTTATAAGAATGTTTTTATAACATTCACAATCGACTTAACGAGTGTTAGAGAGTGGTATAAGATCCAGCATTACTTTCTCCCAACAACTCGAGTTATTGGGATCAATTGGTTTACGACATGGCATCAGAGCCTGGTTTGGCCAAGTGGTCGTGTTTCGAATCTCCACGACCCCAAATATTAAAAGTTGATTACAACACAAGGTATGACGAGCTTGTGCAAACTTCAAGCCCCTTAGTCGGCTTTCATTTGAGGGGGCGTGTAAGGAAGTGGTTAAGTACCATACATGAGCATGTATAAGATCCAGTAAAGGTTGTCAACCCGCAGGTTGACCCGGACCCGGTTGAGGTAGTGGATCAAGGGTTAACGTGTCACCCGTTTAAGCCCGAAAATATGGAAATAGTCATTATATTGTACTTTATCCTGATAAATTATATCAAATCTCATCTAACATATGAGTAATAACATATAACATTACACCAAAGTAACATGTCTTACTTAGATCCAACATATAGTGAATATTCACACACACTTATATAACATCAATATTCAAATGTTCAACTAAGGATTCCAAAAATTGAGTTAGGCGAAAAGAAAAATCGAATAATAGGCGCATTTTGCAAACCAAAGAAAAAAAAACGACACAATTTGACCTCCAACCCGATACCTTGTAGTGGTCGACCCGGCGGGTGCTTGCGACCCGTTTTTTTCACCGGGTCAGGGTCAAAGTGGGTCGACCCGTGGGTGACAACTTTGGATCCAACATAACGTTCTCCCAACAACTCGAGTTATGGGGACCAACTGGTTTATGACATGGTACTTAACCACTTCTTTACAACGAGCGATGGATGCTCTGTAGTTATTGGATGAACGCAATGCTAACTTATTTACAAAATTGCTACTATATCCATTCAATGATCACGAAACGAACGCTCAACACTTGATCGGATGACTGTGAACATCGTAAAAACGTCCCTACAATGGTGTTGCACAAACCCTAGCCGGATTGCTCGTGCATGCTGCTACTTAAGTTTGGTAATGCCAAGAGTTAAACACGGGACCAAGTTGCAAGCTAAACGAAATATCCAACTCGATCTTAACTTCAAACAAAGAATCGATTTTGTTTTGATTACGCAAGTGGTAACCAAACCTTCCCCCACCCATATCCCTTTTTCGCTTTTCGTTTTCAGAGGACAAATTTTGTGGACCTGAAAAGATAAATAATTGACTGATCAAATAGTAGAACAAAGAGAAAAAGTAGGAAAATGTTGAATGACATTAATCAGATAGAAAGTGCCACTTAGAAGTCTGTAACATCAAAGGACAAAGCTATGATGACCTGACCTGACCAAGATGCGAGAACCTAACAAAAACAGTTAAAGCTAAGAGGTCATTTGGAAGTTGCGATTGTTAAATAGATGTATTGTTGAGAATGCATGTATAATATTATACATGTATTGTCGAATTTGATGCATTGTAGAATACAACGTTTGGTATGTGTGATTGTGTATGTCGCATTAGCTAAAAGCTGAGACAAAACAATCTCAACTCAACTATCTCAACTAAAAGTTGAGATATAACAATCACTCAAAATGAGTGATAGTTTCTGTCACATCACAGAAACAATCCATGTATTGTTTATGCTAAAAAAACAAAAAAACGATGCATTGTAAACAATACATGCATAATGACAATCTCAACAAAACTATCGCAACTTCCAAACGACCCCTAAGCACCCAAGTTTGATCAAGTTCATCGGGAAGACAGCACATTGACTAATTGACATCTACTCTTGCCCAATTTATCAACAAGACACCGAAATGTCATGATAGCGTCAAGGATCTGGATCCACTCTAGTGGAAGTTGTTTCAACTTCGAGATTTGACGATTCATTCGTTTCGGAGATCTTGACGTATGAAGGTATCATGAATAATATGATCAGATAAAAAAAGATTATATTATTAGAATAATGAGTAGTACGAGTAGTATTGTGTTGTATTACGAGCATTATTATGTAATCTGATAGAATTATATTCTATATCAGAGTCAATAGAATCAGTTAGATATTTTGCATATCAATGTTAGAAATATCATAAGAGTCGGTCATTGTATTATATATATATTTTTTATATGATTTCAATAATAAATTAATAATACACAACCATTTCGATTTTCCACCCAAAGAATAAGACCGCCAAAACCGCTTTGTGTTGGTTGCATTGCATCAATGATTTTACTTACTCGACCGTCGGATGGATGGATAGTTTCAGGAGCAGTGACCACCAAATTGGCCAACTTGGTGGGACATGCATGGCCAGGAGGAGAATTGAAGGCCTTTCAATTCCTTTCATCAAGAAGCTTTGCTACAATGAACCAATGTCGACACGTTGTCCAAGGAGTTCGTTCCCATACATTAGTGGTTGGTTGGCTTGACTTGGCTTGGATTGGGAAGTAGGCTTATCAGAATAAACGAGAAAACGACAGTTTAGGAAAACAGAAGAGAATCAATTATGAACTTGATTTGATTCACACGTTTTGAACAAGCAATATACGCGCGCAAGAGAGATTCTGTGTGGCTTGGGTTTTTGAACATAGACCACAACCTAACCTGCTATTGCTAAGATGCCGGCAGGCTCTTCTTACTGATCTAACACGGTTTGCTGCCGCCGGTGGCGATGGTGACTGCACTGTAGTCGTCGTGTCTCTGTTTCTTGTATTCCACGCCGACTTATGTGATGGCGGCCATGCAA